AAAACGAGATCTTCACGGCAAAAATCGCAATATATTTCAACAGTTTTTAATCGAACGGCGCGTTGAGAATAAATAGCTTGAATAATAATGAGCCGCACTGATTCGCGCGTTGCATTTCGGGAAGACCCTCATTCCTCCTCTGGTGTGCACTGATACACGCTGCATTATTTTTAATAATGCTGTGGGCACGCTGCATTATTTTTAATAATGCTGTGTGCTATTTTATGCCGTATAAACATTTACCCCTGGGAATTTCCCTACAATCAAAAAAGACCGCTCCCGTTTTTCAGAAGAACGCTAAAACTTCTCGACATTCGCTGATATAATGCAGAGAGAAAACAATAGGTTATTATGAAAACAATCAGTAATTATTTTCATTTAAAGTACGAGAAGATCTTCAAATGATAATTCAGTGATCGATCTAAGTTCACGCATATCACCCGACATAATATCAAATAATTTCTCCATTCTAGCCTCCAGCCGACAAACATACTTCAACAGATCTGCATTTGAACTATTGGCAGTATCGGTTTGGGGTATCGTTTGCGAACAATTTTCGGTCATTATTTCTTGATTCTTGTGTAGAGTTTGCGGCTCCATATTAGGCGTTTGTGAATGGTCAATTATATAATTTACTTCGTCAGTATGGCTGACGTGTTTATTATTTTTCTGTTTGATTGTCCCGGTCAATGTACCCTCGTCGAAAGTAAAAATATCTTGAGACTGCTCGCTTATAGAGACATCGTACATATTTTGTGACTCTTCCGATTTTTCTGGCTCACACGAGTTATCATCGGCGATAATATTTGTCTCTGAATTCGGATGCATGGTCGAGAGCTTTTTGATCAAAATGTTTGTAAATGACTCACCTTTCTCGCCTTGAATTAAGAGAGAGGCAGAGTTGGTGTTATACCTGATTATAATTGATCCTGTGGTCTCATTAACGGTGACGACCATTTCCCGTTTAGTTTTAGAGTTTTCTTGACAAAGACTTTAAGAGCTTCATAGCTCTCCTTCCATTTTAGCTTTCTATTCTCATCAATAATGATATATTTACCATTACTGTCGTCGATTTGTAGTGTTTTCAGATTACTTAGGCAATCATTTGTTGACTAACAAGTGCTTACATCGGTACTCGCATCAGACATGTTGACCGCCATGTTGTACATGCCGTACTGACGCTAAAAAGTCGTAGCCGTCGCCCATCTGAGTACGAAATTATGGAGAAACCTGGTAGTCTTCACGACGACTTTTTAAAAAAAAAACAAAGAAAGTTGGCTTTTGTTTGTTTTCCAAAAATAATTTGTAGCATTTATATAGCGTTTATCCGGCGCAAATAATATATTAGTACTAAATATCTGGCCTGTTTTTAATGTTATGACTTATTTACACGTTTTGTAGGGGATTTTAGTCAGCAGGAGATTTAGTTTATGAAACTTTTTCTCTCGTTGTTGATTTACTGTTATAAAAGCAACATTTGAATGGAAACGAGAACGACTACGGTAACTTCCTCGCACGCGATCAAATCTCGTACTCGTAGTCGTACTCGTAGTCAAATCTAAAGCTCCCTAATATATCTGTGGTGGGTACATATGTCTACATGTATATATAACATTATGACTGAATATGCATATCAGACGGAGTGTGATATCAGTGTTTATGCCGTGGTTTGTGCCGTTGTCTATTCCGTAGTTTATGGAATTATCTATGACTATGTTCATATTATAAAGTGTGTGCTAGCCTGCAAGCAGGCTCTCTGGGGAAACAGA